TTAACTTGATGTATTCTTTGATGTATGGGCAAACGATTTCACGCAACAACAACGGTTCACTTGAGGAGAATGTTGTCTCTTCATCGTTATCAAGGGTGTTTGGGTCCTTGACGAAACTGAAGTTGCGTGAAAATTGGAGCATGGGCAAGTGGTCCCAGTTGCTCCGGCGACGTTTTCCATTGAACATTTCGGGCTTGTACTTCTCTGTGGTGATCATTTGCACAATTTCCTTGTGTTCTTTTGCTGAGAACAACGATGTCATCGAATACGATTCGAAAATAGCGGCAAATTCGTCCATTTTCATGGAACCAAAGCGAATGTCGTAGAATGAGTCGCCGAGATGAGCTTGAACCGCTTCCTTGGTCAATGTATCTTGTTTGCTGGTTGCTTTGACGCATTCCACACATGCATTGAAGACGTCAGTCTCTGAACATGACAGTGTATCCAATTTCAGAATATGGCCAATGGTTTTCTGATCACATTTCAAGAAGCCAGGCGATTTGAGCACTGCCGCGGCTTTGATGCTGATGCTGGCCTCACACAAACGTTTCAATTCATCGTGGCCAAATCGCACCGCCAATCCATAAGCCATACATTCATTGTCATCTGTGAGATTGTTTTCCAAAAAACGGCCGCAAATGTTCGAGCATTCGACGACACCATACTTCTTGGCCAACGCAATGACCTCGATTACGTTTTCCGAGGTCAGTTCAATATCATTGAGGTAGAATATCTGCAGAAATTCTTTGAGGGCTGCAACCGGTGTACCGTCAATGGTAATGACTTTCTTCCGTTTCCATGTTCCGTCGAACATATTGCGAAATACCACACTTGCGGTTGACAATAGCAGTTTGTGCGCCGGTACTCGCTCGGATTTGCCATCGGCTGAACTGAAGTCAAACTGAATGTCAGCGGTTGCCGCATCCAAATATAACGTTTTCACCGTTGAAGACATGAGATTACTGGCATATTTTATAGCTGACATGATGACTTTGTGGTGATTGCTCACGATTCACTGGTGACTTTCAATTGAAAATTCGCTGATAACTGCGGATGAGTACAAAATGACTTGAAAATGAGGTTAGGTAGCACGGCCTAGTTCCCACAATGAACCGGCTAGCGGTCATAAGTCCCCAAAATTATCCATCCATCCATCCATCCACGTGTGTGTCCATCCATCCAACTGTG